CATTGCACAGGTACTTTATATGGTAGCAAAATACCTTTTTGGTTATTTTGTTCCTCTAAAAATTTTCATTTGTCTGCATGGATTTTATTATTGTTTTTGGCTCTTCAGAGATACAGAAGTTTCTTGTGCACTAAATTAATAAATATTCAATGTTAATCTGTGATTTGATCAAAAGAACTAAAGGAGTTAGTTCTAAGAAGAGAAGGACCTTGGCTGGTGTAGTTTGGCAAAACTTCCTGTAAAATGGGGTGCTCCTATTTTCCTTTTGGGGGTTTAAAATTAAGAGGACTTCAGCCTCCTTGTAGAATCAAGGTCAAGAGCAAAGTGGGTCCCTGCTGAGTCTGGGCTGGGTGCTTCTTCTTGTCACTGACTTGGTCCAACAATCTTGTGAGGGCTGCCCTGATTTTTCAGAGGGGAAAGCTGAAGGTTAGAAAAGTGAAGTAATCTCTAAGAGGCGAGAAGTGGCAGTGCTAGACTGAAGTCACTCAGCTGGCCCCAGAGCCTGCTGCTCTCCTCCTGCCTCCCTGTTGCTGCTTCCACAGGGCTGACAGCTCCTGACAAAGTCTCTAGCACACTCACTGAACCAGCTTGGCAGACCCAAGGTACCTGACTGCCCCATACATAGGGGACTTAGAGGGAATTTGCTTGAATTGCCCTAGAGCCTGTTGAAACAGGCAAAATCCCAGTTCTATGAACTCATAAGTACACATTAAATAGAAAATAAAGAAAAATGGTTTGGAAGCTTCTCAATAGTTTGATGGGCTGTCTGTTTTCAGAGAACACCTGTCATATGTGATAAACAGACTTCTAACTGCAAACAATACCCTTAAGAGTAGTGAATTAACAGTAAAGAGCAGGAGTTGGGGTCAGATAGCCCTCAAATACTGGTTTGAATACTGGTTCTGCCACTTAGTCGCTGTGTCACCTGCGGCAATTTATTTAACTTCTATGTGCCTCGTTTTCCTCCCTTGCAAGATGGGCATCATTAATAATACCTACACCTCCAAAGACTGGTGAGAAATAAAGGAGATTTTATATACAATGTACTTAGTCCATTAAGGCTTGGCACACAGTATGTGTTACTAGACGGCAGCTGTTAGGATTAGGATATGCTTGGCTGGTCCTGAAAAAATGGCTCTTCTGTTTTAGAATGAAAACTAGTTTTAAGGACATGGTACTTGGTGCTTGTACCATCCATAAATCCCGAGGCACTGATCCAAACAGAAGTGAAAATGAAGAGAGACGTGTACCATCTAAACCTAACAAAACAGAAAGAGAGGGCAAATGCCACGTCTTGAATTCTGGATATTCACGGAACAATTATTAGCTCTCTTACTTAGCACAGTCCTGTCACCGAATCTGCACAGCAAAGCTCCCCCATGGAGAACGGACAGAGGCAAGTTCACAGGTGCTCAGGCTGTGTTACCAGTGGCAAATAGGCCCACGGGTATCCAATTACCTGTGCCCAAAGCTCAGAATTTCATGTCCAATTGGAGTTGTGGATACCAAGCTTTGGCTCACTTGTGAATCTTCGTTAAACCCCAGGGTCTTCTTTCAGGGCAGGCCAAGAAGAGCTGTTTCTCTACTGGCTCCCTCAAAGAAGAGCTGATGGTATCACTGAAGGGCCTGATGTGACAGCAAATGGGCTGGGAAGAAGGGGAGGGTGGCCATCACCCCCCATCCACACTCAATTCTAGTGGAGACAGGGAAAAAAGCCTGGATTCCAGGGTGCTCCCGTGGACAGCTTCCTGAGAAGCCCCACATGGAAATGAAGTGGGGGACACAGTTGCAGGGTAATATAGCTGCCCCTGGGTATCTGATGGGGGGGTCAATTCCAGGACTTCCACCTAGACCAAATCTGCAATAAATAGTCCCATGTATAAAATGTCACAGTATTTGCATATAACCTACTCGTACCCTCCTGTACGCTTTAAGTCACTTCTAGATTACATATAATACCTCGTGCAATCTAAACACTAATTATACAGTTGTCATCATTCCCCAATCAAGTATAACAACCAAAGTCTGTATATGTTCAGTACAAACACAATTTTATTTTTAAAAATACTTTTTATTTTTAGTTTGCTATGGGTTAAGTGTCCCACAAGGGTTCATATGTTGAAATTTAATCCCCACTGTGAGGTATTAAGAGGGTGGAAACTTAATCTGACTATCATTTGGAAGGTGATTAGAATTAGCTAAGGTCATTAGGATGGAGATCTTATGATTAAAAACTCATACCTTTAAAAAAAAGAGGGAGCCAGGCGTGGTGGTACCCACCTGTGATCCCAGTGGCTCAGGAGTCTGAGACAGAAGAACTGCAAGTTCAAGGCCAGTCTCAGCAACTAAGCAAGGCCCTAAGCAACTTAAGGAGACCCTGTCTCAAAAAAAAAAAAGTACAAAGAGCTGAAGATGTGGCTCAGTGGTTAAACATCCCTGGGTTCAATCCCTAGTATCAAAATAAATAAATAATAGAAGGTTATCACCAGATATAGCCTCTTGACAATGGATTTCCAGAAATATGAACCAAAATAAACCTGTTTTTTTTTTTTTAACAAAGTAACCTGCCCCAGGTATTTCATTATGGGAATTTATGCAAAATGAACTAGTACACGGTTGCTAGAAACTGAACATGCAGAACCCACAGATATGCAGGGTCAACTGTACTTGCTTGAAGTGGGTGGGCTACATCCAGGGATACTACCCGCTCCGAACAGCAGCAGCATACAGGTTTCATACAAATGCTGTGAGGGACAGTGCTGCTCACTCTTATAACATTCTGCGTGGTGACTTTCATGGTTCCCATCACTAGGCTGGAAAAGCAAGGCTGTGCCGTATTCCAGGACATCAGGCCTCTATAAACAGCTGAGTTTCTTGGCATGGCAGTTGGGCCTCTGGAACAGCTTCCCTCCCTTCTTTTCCTTCTAAGCCACCAGTCTCTCAACATCTAACTTCCCCTCTCTCTGTCCTCACCTCTGCCAATAGGCTAACACTGGTTCCCTAAGCAGGGTGGTTCCTTCAGGACAACCAGCCTAGAGAAGGTCCAGTAAAGAACTTCCCATGGTATGTCCACAGTGTGTGGGATGGGCAAGCCCCATAGAGGCAGGTCGAGTGTGGCTGGGAACCTTCATTCTGCTCACTGGCCTGGTGACTTGTCTCATTTCCTTCCTTTGAGAGCCAGGAAAATGTTGCTCCAAGGTCATTTGTGAGGACTGGAGAAATCAATGTACACAAAGGGCCGGGCTCTGTCTGGAACGTAGAAAGTGCCCCCAGACATAAAAGCAAGTATTGGCATTTAGTGAATTTGATAAAGAGGTAGAACTAGGGAAAGGAAGAAAAACCTTAGTATTTTGATAGCTGTTCATATTTTTCTAAAGCAAAATTAATCAGGAAGGACTGTAGGGGCTTAATTCAAATAGTCAAAGATAATTCACTTTCTTTCCTCTTCTTTTGTTTATGGCTTAAAGGGGACAGGGTTGCTCCATAATATCTTTTTAATACAGAAATATATAATATTTATTTTTTAGTTTAGTTGGATACAATATCTTTATTTTATTTTTATGTAGTGCTGAGGATTGAACCCAGGGCCTCACATATGCTAGGCAAGTGCTTTGCCTCTGACTGAGCTACAGCCCCAGCCCAGAAATATATATTTTTTAATACAGAAAGAAAATTCATTATTTTTGTTTCTAGCTATAAGAGGAATTTAAGCTTAATGCGAAAAAACTAAGAAACAATAACAGGCAGAAAACAAAACAATACCAGCCATCAATACACCCACTTTAGACATGACTGTATACCCACTGGAGACTGTTTTAGAACCTTCATGCTTGTGCACATATGCATCCATTGTGTTTCATTTTATACATTTAAATGTACCATAATTTGTTTACTTTTTATTATGCTTTTTTTCCAGTGGTGATTTATTTTGAAACATCTCCATGTCAATAAACAGATATTAGCATCACAGTGTTTAATAGTTGCGCTGTCTAGTTCATAGCTGTGCGATAACTGCCAAAGCATTACCACTGTTGGACATTTATATTATTTTCTTTTGTTATTATAGATAATAAAAATCTTTTCACCTTTGTCTAGATCTCTGATCATCTCCTTAGGATAAACAGCAGAACGATAACAGTCAAGTCCAGGACAAGCCCATCACAAGGCCTTGATTTGTGATGCCACATTGCTCCTGAGAAGAGTCTTGATGATTTATACTCCTACCCACAGTGGGGCAGTTTGGTCTCACACATGCTTCTTTACCCCTCCTTCCCCTCTTTTTCAGTTTCTTGGGTAAATTGGGTTTTGCTGCTTCTGCCTAATGAACCAATCAAAACAGCTAAGACAAAAATGGGACAGATCCAGTCTAGGTTCAAGCCATCCCTCCAAAACAACTGGGCACTCTAAGAGGGGACTTTTCTGAACACTGTTTCAGAAACAAGGGGGTTGGTAAGAGATGGAGGGTAGGTTTGTTTTCCATTAGCCCCTTCTCCTGAATTGAGAATGACTGGCTTCCTCCAGTCCATCAATCAGCAAGTTGAGTCTGAACAATGAATAACAGCAAGGGAATGAATGAGCTTATATAGAGAAGGGATCCACACGCTGGGCACACACACACACACAGGCACCCACTCTGCAACTCCAGCTGCAGGGTGCTGGACGCGTGCTGGCAGGTAAAACATCCTTTGACAACCTTCATGGAATCAAGGCGGAATGCTCCTTACTCATTTTGCTTTCTAAAGGGGAGAGAACAAGGAAAGCTATATTCAATTAGTTTGGGTTAGAGGCCTGAACATTTGTAATGAGTATTTTAGCAAGTTAAAAAGAGTCATTCTCTACCCTCAATGAGCAGGAAAGGCAGCTGGCATTTCAGAGTTGGCAAACCCCTCCTGAAAGATCAATGTTGTCTCTGTATTTGATAGACTGATCTGGTTCAAGGTTTATTTGTTGAAATAGATAATGTAATATTCAGTCTGTCAGCAGGCGCACACATACACTATTCTCTCTTAACCCCTTCCCCTCTGTGAAATTTCCAGAACATGAATCTCTTAACCCTCATTAGAGAGTTAGGGTTTCTAATCAAGAACAAAGAGACTTTTAAACCATGTGGACACCATGAGTATAGGAAGGGAGAAAGAAGAATTCATCCTCAAAAACTACAACTGTGCAAACTTTTACTGAAACTTAGGAAAATAAAGTCCTTCCCTAAGCTCTTCTATTCAACCCTCCACCCTGTAGGTCCTCTGCCTGCTTCAGAAGACAACAGGGAGAGGCTTGCTCTGAAGCCTGTGAGGATCAGGAGAATTGCTGTGGAGCCCCCAAGCTCACAATGGGATTTGGAGACCTACCCTGGACATTAAGGAGCTGGTGGAAGAAGCCATCCTCTGATATGCCTTCGCCTAGATCAGGCCTAGATGGGAGGTAAGGAGTAGCCTCTGGGAGAACCCTGGGAGAACATCCACTGGTGAATGCAGCTGTTGCTTTCTGGACAACCCACAGTCTGCGTGGGCAGGGAAGAGCTTGAGAAACAAGATGCATGGAGCCAATGCATGACAGCAAGCTGCTCCTGAGCAGATGATGGACTGAGGGAGAGTTTTGCAACTGCTCAGGATGGTGTAAACTCTTGCTTCGTTAGTGCCAAAGCCTAGGGCTTCGTGTCCTTCCCGAATAGGAGCTGAAAGGAGTTAACAACAAGTAGCAGTTGACATTTACTGAGGGCTGCTTTCAAGGCACAGAAGCACACTGCTGTCTCTACCTCCTTCATTCCACAGCAAGCTCAGCAGGTAAGTCCTGTCATAATACAGATGAAGACACCATAATTCATGAATTTGGTGCACTGGGAAAACACCAAAACCTTTCAGGACATCTTGCTCTGGGGCGATGCCAACTCAACTCCTTTTGCTCAGCTCCTCAAATACTTGGCAAAGCACTGTGTTTACACGTCTTTTGAGAGGTTACATGCCACAAAGAACAGCCCAAATTCCCCTAAGGGCCTTATCTAGGAAAGGAAATTGTGTTTTGTTGTTGTTGTTGTGTTACATGAGGCATAAGAAGAATAACTCTAAAACCAAATCAGTCAATTTGCTGTCAATGTGTTGGGTTCGGATGGAGTTGATCAAACCAAACATGGGGCTATCATGGCTCTTACCAATTGGTAGCACCAACTTTCCAAAGAACTATACTGTATAGGATCAGGAGGACTATGATTAACCAAAGATCATGCCCTCAAGAAATTGGTGTTCTGAGTGCAATGGTGCATGCATGTAAGTCCTAGCAACTTGAAAGGCTGAGGCAGGAGGATTGCAAGTTCAAGGCCAGCCTCAGAAATGTAGTGAGACCCTACTTCAAAACAAAAAATAAAAAAAGGCTGGGGAAGTAGCTCAGTGGTAAAGCACCCCTGGGCTTAATCCCTAGTATGTAAGTGTGTATGTGTAAATAAATAAATAAATAAGAAAGGAAGGAAGGAAGGAAAGAAGAAAGAAAGACTGGGAATATAGCTCAGTGGTAAAGCGTTCCCAGGTTTAAATCTCAATAAAAATTTATTTTAAAAAATTGGTCTTCTTGACATAATTTATGGAGATGACTAATTATACAGGACCTAATTTTGAGAAAAGAGTGGTTAATTACATCAGATGTAGGAAATTGCAGGCATTTGAACTATATAAAACTCAACTGCTATATGAATTATCTCCTAGGCCAATTACTTAAATACCTCAAATGTTTAACAATAACCCAGATTCAAGAAATTGTTTAGAGCCCCCTGTGCCATCCACTTGCATGTAGAATAAAATGAGAAATGATCTTGTAAATCTTCTGTATTAATGACAGGCTTTGGATAAATGAGTTCACATCTTACTGACAAGCTGAGTTTTATTGTCTTTTAATAAAACAGATACACTTAACAGGTATTCATAAAGCATCAGAGCAAGGACCCTGGCTTCTGGGAATCCTGATACATGAGACAGGATGATCCTTACTCTCATGAGGCTCACAGTATCATGAGGAGAGACAGACAGCAAGCAGGGAGGTGAATCACTAGGCAGGAACGTCTCAGAGACAAAGCGCTATGATGAACATAAGGCAGGGTGATGTGGGAGACTGCGGTGGGTGGGGGTCAGAATAGGGAAGGCAGGAAAGAGCATGTGAGAACCAGGAACAACCTCTGGAGACAGCTAAGGCCCTGAAGTAAAAATGGATATGGTTTGTAAGGGGAGCAGAAATAGCACAGGGACATAAGGAGCAAGGGAGGCAGCCAGGCGAGGTTGAGTAAGGGAGGCAGGGGTGAAGGGGCTAGGCCAGGAGGAGGAGCTTTTATTCTACATGCAACTGGAAGCACAGGGGGCTCTAAACAATTTCCTGAATCTGGGGGTATTTCTAAACATTTGAGGTATTTACAGAATTAAAAAACAAAACAAAACCCCCAATTTCAAAGATAATGCCATCTCTTAGGTTGGCGGGGCTGGGGGGGGGGCAGAATTCCTTTTTGCAAAATGGACTGGCCAGAAATGCTTTCAGTATATTTTATTTATTTACTCATTCATATAATTTAAAAAATATTATCAATATGTTTCAGGCACTGTGTTTGACATTCAAAACAACTGAGAAGGGCATCTTTTGTCCACAGAGGATATGAGATAAATAACCAGGCAATGGTGATATACAATGTTTCCCAAATACGCAGCTATTCTACCCAGTCTGGGGGATGGAGATGGGGGGAACAGGGAGAGGGAATTAGGAAAGGCTTTCTGAGAGAAGTGATGTTTAATAACAGAGTTCTAGGAGGTGAGAGGAAACAGGGCAATGTTGAGGAAGTGAAACAAGTTTAGTAGGGCCAAAGTAGAGCATTTAAACAAAGGCTACAGTGTCAAGCTGGGGTGTATCCCCAAGGCCTCAATTAATAAAAGGATTCTTGAGTTTACAGGATCAATGAGGGACCATCAAAGACTTTTATGTAGGAGAGTGATGTGTTCAAGTTTGCACAGTAGAACAACCTTACAGGTTACCCATAGAGAATGAGTGGGAGGGGCCAGTCAAGGGTCAGGAAGAACAGACTGGCAAGACTTGGGTGAAGGGAGGGGCAGTCAGAATGGAGTCCAGTGGGCTGATGTGAGAGCAGCATAATCGATAGATCTTGAACACTGACACCAAGTTGGTGATGGAGAAAGGAAGTGGCCAGGTTTCCAAACACCAGATAGAGCATGGCGGAATTAATGGAAACAGGAAAAACAGGGTGAAGAACAGGTATGGGTGCAGAGGAGGAAGGGAAGTGTTCCTTTATGACGCTCAATTGGCATGGTGGCTCAGCAGACATTTGGATGTATGGGTCTAAAGAACAGGTAGAAGATCCAGGATAAAGATATCTTTGGCATATTGTTGGTAACTGGAACTATAGAAGGGATTGGGATCAACTGAAGAGTTAAGAAGAGGAATTAAAACTAGATTCCAAGAGAGAACAACTTTTAAAGGGAAAGGAGCCCTCAAAGGAGATAGAGAAACAGCAAACAACTTAGAAGAGTGTGGTGCTGCTAAAGATAAATCAAAGCTAGTGTCAGATGTCGCCAGAAATCAAGAACTGAGAGGGTCCATGGGGCTTGACTGGGAAGTCAGGGAGATCTTGGTGATGAGTAGTGTCAATGAGTAGTGTCAAAGCAGGGACAAATTCCAGATTGAGTGGAAAGAGAGGGAGACAGAAGGGATTCCTATATTTAGTCTCCAGAGTAAGGATTAAAAAAAATCAGCACAGGACCTTCACTATAATAACAATAGAAAGGTGAATTTACTAAACATTTGAAATAACTCCAGATTTTTAAAAAATGGGAAACAAAAGGACCATTTTGGAACAAATGATATTAGGCAAGAAAAGACCCAAAAAACCTTGGGATTTCTCCTCCTAAATACCTTCTGGAGTGGCCACCCAACAGCTTGGAGCCCCAAACTCTGACTCCCTGGGAGTCAAGCCCCAGGTATAAGGAAGATGATTCAGTGGATTCTAGACTCTAACCACAGCTGCTGTGTCTGTTTTGATCTGCAAGAGCAGCATTCAGGAAAGGCAATCCCAGCTAGCGGTCTAGAATGCCACAGTCAGCACATCCTGGGGGACCCAGGCTGATCTAGGAGTTGATGTGGTTAACTGTCCACATCAGACTCCACAGCTCTCTTTGTCATCTCTCATTCAGCCACCTAACTGTAGTCTGTGCCACCTTGATGACAGGAAAGGTATTAAGGTGAAGAAGAGTGGGATCCTGGCCCAGATTTAAAGCAGTTCAAAGTCCAGCACAGAAATCTGGCATCTGAATGGATGCCAATTGTGTATTAAGTGTTGGGTTCCGTAGCCTGGAGTCATACAATGATTTTCAGGTCTGCTACTTATAAGCTGTATGTCCTTGGGCAAGTTAGATGAACCTTCTAAGCTTCATTTTCCCCACAGGAAAAGCAGAGTCACTAACAGCCTCTCTTGGGGTAACTGAAAGTGAATGTGCCCTCAGCTCAGTGTCTGGCACCAAAGGAGCCCCCAGTGAATGGCAGCAGCTGCTGTTATTAAGTATAGTGACAGAAATGAGTACTGGTACTGTGATAGTGCTGAAAAGAGCACCTAATGGAGCCAAGAGGGAGAAGCTCAGGAAATGCACTCTGGAGGAGATCTCAACAAATCCTAAAAGGAACAGGAAATGTGGGCAAGGTACGTAAGGAGAAGACCCCAGGCAGAGAGAGCTGAAATGCCTCACTTTTCCGTCTTCAGACAATGAACACGATGCTGCTTTTCTGGGTGTTGATGCAAACAGAAAGAAAACTTGGAATCTGAAGATCCAGGTTCAAAGAGAAGCTTCCAGATTAAGACTGCCCCAAAGGCTTCAAAAGGCCACTCCCACCGCCTCAGCCTCAGGGGCTCTCTTTCACAAAATGTAGGAAATAGTTCCCTTGTACCCCTCATTCAATCCATATTTATCACATGCCTATGAATAACACCGTGAGGTTCTGGGGAAATAATAGTGAACAAGAAATGGACATGGGCTGGAGGCATTACTGCTTACTACAGGAATCAAGAGAAGAAAATGAGCAACTACGGTATAGAATGCCAAGCACTGCAGTTGAGGTTAATGCCAAAACTCAATGAAACACTCTGTATGGAGTGGCTCTGAAAACTGGAAAGCTGGAAAGCACTATAAATTCCCAGTACAGGTATTGAACCCAGGGGCACTTTACCAGTGAGCCACATCCACAATCCTTTTTATTTTTATTTAGAGACAGGGTCTCACTGAGTTGCTTAGTGCCTCACTGAGTTGTTGAGGCTGGCTTTGAACTTGTGATCCTCCTTCCTTGGTCTCCTTAGTTGCTGGGTACAAGTACATTTTGTAGTGTTATTATTATTCTTGACAATAGTACTAGCCAGATTCTAAATCTCCCAGGAACTTTTTTCCAACTTCTGGTCTGCTCATGGTACCTTATCTCCAAGGGAACTATGGGTCAATGTACATATCAAATACATACTCATGCTTGCTATAGATATACCATCTGTGCCGGTTCCCTGTAGACTGGTGATCAACCACAAGAGTGTCTTGGCATTCAGTGAGGCCCCCTCACATTGGGGAACATTTTGGTTGGTGATCTTTCACACATTTCATTAGTCCAAACTCTATAGGCTTATGATGTGGCCTGATTGCTGACTCTTCTATTCACCATGTACTACATAGCAAATGTAAGCTAAGTACTGTTCCGAGAAACTAGGGGTAAAGAGACACACAGATGACCCCAGGTTTGAAGATGTTCAGTTTAGTGAAAAAGATATCTGGGAATCAATATGATGAGATGATAAGATTCATGCTAACCTGTATAATAATGAGTGATCATATATCACCAAACTTGGATAGTCAAAGATGGTACAAGTGAATTTACACCTGGCAACAGGCAAACCAAGATATATGTTCCCTAAATGCGACATAAAGGTTAAATGGGTTGCTTAAAGTATGACAGTTGAGTGCCAGAACCAAAGCATATTGATTCTGTAGCCTAGTAAGATGTCACTCACATCTTTGCTTTCTATGGAACTAATTACAACCATTTTTATGGTTCCTTGCAATATGTAATTTTCTTTGCACATTGGATCCTAAAGGCATTTGTGGATTCTGGGATTATGAGCTAAAAATTGCATAAGGATGATAATCAGACACCTGAGCCCTTTTATGGTAGAAATTTTCATTATAGTACTGAAAGTTAAGGTTCAGTGCCAAATGTAGACTTCTGCCTAAAAGTCTACTACTAAGGTTAAACTCTCATCTACAGGAATGCCCTCCTCAGGCACCAAAATGAACTGCTTTTTAACATTAGTGCTTTAAAGCTTTCACTAAGCCACCCTGGGGCTAAGCTAAATTAATTTCTCATTCTTAGACTGGCTGTATATATTCAGTGGTGAAAGGACTTCTACTTAATGCATCTGAACACAGAGGTGATGATGTTCCTGGTAGGATGCAAAAAACTCTTGGAAACATTCACATTACAGTGCTTCGGAGTCATTGTCCTGCCTAGAGGGCTCACCTGCTAAACCTAGAGGTAATTTCCCACACAAAATGTACTTTCAAAGCAAAGTCCCATTGGATTAATTCCCACATCTAAAAAGTGTGCTTCTGGCCATAAACATGAAACCAGACTTGGCTGGTGAGTCTCTTTTCCATAGTCTACTACTGAGCATCAGATGTCTCACTACATAGGTGACATGACTTTTCATTTTTCTTAAGGGACAAGAGCTTCCCTGACATACACCCCATAAAGACAATTCTGTTTCATTGTCACATGTCACATTATAGTCAGGAACATAAGAGCTGAAGGCAAAAAGTCAAAGTTGGTTAAAAAAATTCCTCAGGCCAGTTGTCTCTTAAACCTAAAGCCAGAATCATAAAGAAACCCAAGCCTGTTTTGGAAAAAACATAAAACAAGTATACCCTCTCTGATATAGCCAACAGACAAAACCTCTGGGCCAGGGCTGAGGCTACTGATATCACTCTCTTACCTGCCAGGTGCTCAACCCCACCAGGATGCTCACTGCAAATGCCTGCTGTTCTCTGCCTGTGAGCTTTAATTCTGGCTCATGCCCAAGGAAAACCAGCATTGCTGGAGATAAGAACCCAGATGCAAGCTTCAATCAATGTTGGAATAGACATTGGAAGACAAAGGCACCATCTTCCTTGCAGGTCTGTTGGCAAAACTCATGTTTTATGTTGTCTTCCAAGAGTTTCTGTACCGCATTAAAACAGCAGATGCCCATAGAGGTAACTACTTCATAAAAAAGTTTATAGCCTCACTTTTCTTTCTTATTTCCTTAAGCCACTACCAGGGTTTGCTTGTAATCATCAGTGTCTCTGAAATCATCCAAATAAAGTATTTGAATTCAAATCCATGTCTTGGGTTTGGCTGCAGAAAACTTCTTTGCTAGTTGCAAATTTAAATCTTTTTCTTTTATTTCATTAATTTCTAGGAGAATTTATTAATTATTTATTTTCTTCTTCTTACTTTGGGATTAATCTAGTCTTCATTTCCTGGTTGCTTAAGATGGAAGTTAACATAAGGGACTTGAAACTTTTTTTTTTTAAATGGGATTTGAGGACTAAAAAATGACTACTGACTACTGCAATCAAGGATTTCAAATTTTTTGAAATGTTTTGTTTTTGTTTTCATCCAATTTAAAAGATTTTTAATTCCTATTTTCATTTCTTCTAAAAATCATGTGTTACTAGAAAGTTATTTAATTATCAAATATTGGTGGATTTTTCAGAGATCTTTTATGTTAATGATTTCTAATTTTCCTCCACTGTTGACTGAATATAGTTTAAATGATATGAATCCATTTGAATTCACTGAGACTTATTTTATGGTCCACAAAATTGTCTATCTGGGTAAATGTTTTACATGCACTTGACAAAAATGTGTTTTCTTTTGTTGCTGGGTGGGAATGCTAAAAATGTCCATCAGATCAAGTTGGGTGATTGTGTTATTCAAATCTCTTATATTTTTAGTAACTTACCTCTTTGTTATATCATTTTCTGAGATACATTGAAAACTCTGACTACAATTGTGTATTTGTTAAATTTTTCTGCAGTTCCATCAGCTTTCATTCACGAGTGTCAAACTCCATTATTAAGTACATAAACAATTAAGATTGTTATGTCTTCTTGATGTATTTATCCCTTTAGTATTATGAGGTGATTTTCTTTATAACTGTGATATCAATATAGCCTTTCTTTGCTTAAGATGAGCATGGTAAACTATTTTCATCCTTTTACTTTTGTTTATTTTTCACATTAAACTTATATTTTGATTCTTTTACAGAAACAAACAACCACCAACCCTTCTAGGCCAGGTATTGAATTTTGAACCAAATGAAATGGGCTGTTCATTGAGAATCAATTACATTTTCACATTTATTATTCTTCATAGAAGACATGTTTGTTTAACCTTTTCCAGTAAACACACAAACTTGGGTAAAAAATTTAAACCCCCAACTTTTCTAAAAAATTTCTGAAGATATCTTACATACTTGCAAAAGAAAAAAAAAACTGTGCTAAGTTGAGTTATGGCGGATAAACCTTTCGCCATGATAACATGACAGACAACAAACACATTTTTGTTCTCTGGCATCAAAGAGTGCCACAGTCTGGTATCTGCAGGTACCCTAAGCATTTTATATATGCTTTCTATGGGCTACCTTTCAAGGTGTTTACTAATCCTTAACTATATATAAAGTCTGCCAGCGTAAGTCTGACTCTAGATACTTGGATTTTATGTTATAATAATTCCACATTTAATCACTTGTGAAAAAACAAAAAGTAACAGTTGGCCCTGTATAACCTAATCAGCCTTAAACAGGAGACAGAACTTTTGGGACTTCTTTTATGTAGCAAAAATTCTAAGAGCAGGAGCAACAAGTATTCTGGGCACACAGGTTCTCTCTGGCATCCTTGTTGTAACTCCCTATCAAATTTGAAATGTAGTTAAATCACAGGTTTCCACTTAAGCTTGCTTATCTTTTATAATGGACTTGGACACATATCAAAGAACCTGCCCATGTGTACTTATCAGTCCCTGACAGGTATGAGGCTTAGGAATTCAATTTAGGACTTTATTGCTCACTTGTTTAGAAAAAGATGTAGTGCATCAGCCAGTATTTGGATGAGGGCTCCAATTACTTATGATTCCAGATAATCCTATATTGCTGCAGGGTTGCCTGGTTATAAACTACAGATTTAAAATACTCTTAGGATGGATAATTCACAACCATGGGATAGAGGTGCATATCTACAAATAAAATATATGAAGGAGAATGGAGAATGGAGACTTCTCTGTTGTTTGTTTTGGAGAATGGAGACTTCTCTTTTTAATTTTTCGTATGAATCTATTATTTTAAATGACTATTATATCAGCTTACAAAATTTCCAAATAGTAATGAAAGGATATTAATATAATAGGGTAGATGGAGAAAATAAGTCTCCCTTCTCACTGACCCCATCTCTGGAAGTAACCATAATTAAAAGTTTCTTATATTTTCTTCTAGATAGTGCATGAACATGTAAGCTTGTCTGTATGATTTCACATGTTCTCCTTTAAAGATAAAACAAATAGTTACAAGTTATTCTTGTTGTTCTGAACACTGTTTGTTTTGCCTTAACATTTCCTGGAGATTGCTCCCCTATTCATTTCAGTGGCTCCGTAACTATTCCACTATTGAATCAGGCCCCTACCAATGAACACACAGGTTGTTTCCTGTCTTGTTTATGAATGGCAAAAACTTGGAGATGATGAAATAGAAGAGGCACTCAACGAGTACTGACATTTTGTCTTACCCATTGCCATCCTTCTTATAGAAATACTGGTGTCCAAGCAACACAGAGAGGCTCTTGGAAGAAATGGATGTTATCCTTCCTGCTACTTCCCACAGGAAGCTAAAGCCCCTCTCTAAAGCTGATGAGATTGGGTGCTGCCTTAAGCAGCAGCTGAATCTTGGGAAGAAGAGCTACTCAGCTTTGCCAGAACCAGACTCATCATGTTGGACAGACCAGACTCCATGTGTAGGCAGCCTCCACCAAAGCCAAGTTCTCTGCAAAGAGGTAAATTTCTTAGGTTTAAGGAAGCCAAGTGTGTGGTCCAGGTCCAGGCCATTCTCACACCACACAGCATGATTCAGCACTCTACTGCTATTGGGCTCTGACTTAGGACACACATAGCCTTCGGACAAAAATATCCCCAAACAGTGAGATGGTGAAAATGTCTGGAGGTGGACTGCCTGGACTCTGGAAAGTTACTTAATCTTTCCAATGTTCAGCTTCCTATCTGTAAACTGAAGAAAATAACAGCAAACTCAGAGGGTAACTATGAGAACTAAGTAAAATAATGCATTTGTGAACTGCTAAGCAAATGTTTGAGTTTAGTAACGGCTAAGAAAATATTAGCTATTATTAGTAATAAGCAACCCAAATCAGCTCCCCCCATTTTTAAAGGGGAGCAATCTTGGCCCCATCTACAAATACCATCTGTATGAGTTCTGGTCTATGGTCATCCTCCACTTTCCTGATTCTACTCTCCATGCCTCCCCCCCACACTTCCTGCACATCCTGTAGAATGATTTAAATCTTCAGAGCACAGTGCTTTGGGCTTATTGTTAGCACTTGCATTTCCATTTGTCTGCAACATCCCCCATCTTTAGATGCAAACTTTTTACTCACTTCCGAAGATGCAGCTCAGAGGGCAAGGCTCAGTATCCTTCCTCTGGACCCCACTGCATCCTCAACCCATCTCCTTTTCAGCTGTCATGTTCCCCAAAGGGACCTGGGTGCAGGTCTTCACAGGCATCAAATATTAAATTCGCAGCACTGGAATGTGCTGGCATGCTGTAGGCGATGGTAACTGCTTGGTGAATTCAAATGAATCCCGTGGAAACAAGGATTCCAGTCAGCATAATTTCCTCAATAAAGCACGATCTACGCCTCTGACATCTTCTTCCAATTAACAACACTGGTATCTGCATTTCTTTTATACTCCTATAAACCTCAGTCCACAACCACCAGGTGTAGGTCCTGTGAACAGCAAGGCTGACAGACAGCATGAGACTTCCTCTAAGAGGGATCCTAGCTTCCAGCCATCATCCTGCAACCAGGCAGATCACCAGAAAACCACTTGCTTTCTCTGGGTACCACAGTAAAAGCACATTTAAATACTTCAGCTTAACAGAATACTGCATTAAACCAAAACCAATAGGAGAAATAGCTATATATGTAGAACCTCATTTAGTTTTTGCATGAAACTGCCATCAAAGACAATATTTATTGTGCTTTAAAATCATTAACATAGACTCTCATATGACAAATTAATATTACATCTTGCAACTCAGGATGAACTGGTATGATTGCTTTGACTAGTCAATGGAATTATACAGCCCCTCATGCTTTTCCCCTTCTTTATTATGGCTGCTACACCTAGCAGTTGGACTGTTTTATGATGAATTAATTACTCTCTTCCTTTCTTGGCCTGTATTAATCTGCTGTTGTTTTTCTTCTAAAGTTCTGCTCCACTGTTATGTATTTTTAAAAAAGAGTTGACAACCCTCATGTTCCTGGATTTTGTTTGGTGATCAACAATGCTCAGAGGACAGGTGTCACCAGATACCTGGCACATGTCACCTAACTGTGCTCCCAACAGACAAATATACACATATAGAACTTGTCAGGACACAAAGACTTGAAATAACAAACAAATTCCTGTACTGAGTAAAGGCTTGCAAATCTTGAAAAATGCTGCTCAACCGAGTCTTGGCTGGTATAAGGAGATGAGAGTCCTATGTGATGGTCGCTGGTACAGCTTTTGAGGTGGATAAGATACCCAGGCTGTAAAGCTATCATTTTAGTAAGTGTATTGAAACCAGCACCCAGGGGGACAATGATACCTGGGTTCCAAGAAAAAAAAAGAAGGAAAGGCAAAAAAGTGAAGAGGAAGTTCAATTCCCCAATCACCAGCCTAACATAAATGGGAAATGCAATGAGTAGACCCTAGGAGAGTGCCAAAGCCAAAGATAAATGCTGGGCTTGCAAACATCCTGCTGCCGCCTCTTCAATCTGGAGAGAAGTATAGTGACATCCAGATGGTCAGCTTTTGAGGGAAAGTTTTTACTTTTGTTTTCTAATGGCAGAAATAGGCAAATGTAAGACAAATCTCATGAAGATGAAAACAGGCTGCTCACCTAAGACCACAGGGTTATGGAATGCTTCTGGAGGGCTGAGTACCTCCGGCAGCACACTAAGTATCATGAGTGGGCTCTCTAAGGTTTGAGGCTTGGGAGAAATGAAGTATGCCACAAAACTGTGTCACTTCCACTCCTAGTGACAGAAGAAGATGCCAACTGATTCCTTGTACAGGATGGGCTGCGTCAGCATCATCTCTGTGTACCTGTCAATCTTCAGGATCTTCTGGGTGAGCCACACCTGGGACTACAAACCAAGCAATGAGGGACCAGTCCCCAGGACTGTGGGGTTACTGGCTTGGGTTTATACAGGCCTCAGTTCAAATTCTGGTGATCTTGGGGAAGTCATTTTATCCCCCCCAAACCGGGTTTCCCTATCTGTAAAATGGGGCTGTTGATAGTGGTTGTTTACTACATTGGGTTTAGGAAGATTAGATAATGTATATGCAACCTCTAATCCAGTGCCTGGCAAGAGTAGATGATCAATAAACATCCAACTGACTATTCTTCCTCCCAGGAATGCCCTTTCTTTTCTACTTTGTGCTTTCTGTCCTGTGTTATAGCTTATTCCAATTGTTTCTTGCTCTGCCCTCCCTCTTTTGCTCTTAAGCTCTGGCCAATGGACCTCTTTCCTTAGGTACTCATTCTCTGTTCCTGATTCTCCCTGTTCTTGTTAGCTCCCCAAACTCCCCCAGTGTTTGAACTTGAGTAATATCAGAGAGTTAGAAAAAGAGAGAACATGTCTGGGCTGCTTCAGTCTCTTTCTTTACACCCCCATATTCAGCAGCTTGCCATAACCCAACCACTGCCCATGGGAGCAACTGAGCTTAGTGGCTGTGGGTTGAGGAATTCTGCACTCGGACCCCCCAGACTGCCTGGGTTCAAATCCTAACCAGTTCTACCCTCCCATACCTTAAGTAACCTCTTGGTGCCTATTCTTTATGTAGAAATTGGGGATGATAACAGTATTGTTATAGTACCTCAGGGGCTGTGATGATGAAATAAATGCACATAAAGTACCTGGCACACTGGTCCTTACTAATGAGTTTACCATCATCATCATCGTCTGTCTATAGAGATGTGATTTCAATCTTTGAGAGCAAACTTTGTTCTTAGGGGTATGAACCAAGCACTGGAGGATCAAACTAAGGTGGAATTTTCCACCTGGAAGAAGAATCAGTTCTTACTTACACTCAAAGGTTTTGGACAACGTGACCACAGGTTGGAGACTTTCCGCACAGCTCATGAGCTGGCTTTTGGCTGGCCCACTGTCTCTGGCAGGACACCAGAAGATGCCAACACCAGATGACTGCATCTCAGGAGTTCTCAGAGCTGCTGGGCCAGAAGATACACTGTTCTTTCACATGCATAGCTCTTACAGAAGAGTCGGGGCCAATCCTTTTCAGATTCCTTTTCCTCTGGTTAATCAAATTCTAAGATGATCACGATGACTTCTTGTAATGCTGTCATTAAGACTAATGGGGCCAAATTCAGCTCACCGGTGGTTGCCATATGTTCTCTAATGATCCATAATGGGCACCAATAATGAAAGCCTTTTCTCAGAAATTTGTTTTTTAAATGAACTGACACTGTCTAGGGCTAAATAAGAAGATGACATTGTCTTCATTAAAAAAAACTATAAAATATATTATTCTTGAAGGGGTCAGTAAAGTAGGAATAAAATAAATTAAGCAACAACCTTTTGGACTCAAAAAAAAAGATGGGGGTGACATTCTCAGAGAACATTTAAGGAACTACGGGTATGGGGGAGACAGTATAGATCTGTGTCCTGGAGTATGAATTCATCAAATCCTTCGCTAGTTACTTTTGAGAAAGGCCCACTGTAGTGAACACCTGGGATATGGGCCCTCTCCTCTGAGGACTACCCCTTATCCATTCTCAAAGTCCATGGGTTTTCATGTCAATCCTCCCAACTCTACTCAGTCAAGATTGAACAAGAGTTGCAGGACTAGGCCAACAGAGTATATTCTCTCGAGGCCAGGGACCAGTTAAGGGATGGGGAAGTCTTCAAAGGAGTTGGGCCCAGATCGTTGTTCAAACTGTTGGGAGGGACAGACTCTTTTTTTTCCTGCTGGATTTGGACTTCTATGGAAGAAAAGACCATCTTACAATCAAAAGAAAAAGGTTTATCTAAGAGGAGAGTCAACATAAAGGAGAGCTGTGCTGAGAGATGGTGACAGCTGGGTCCCCATGGGAAGATCCAAGTCTCTGGATTCTGCCAGGTCTAAAATAGACATTCTTAAGTATATTTGTGAACCATTAAGTTCCATTTTACTCAAAGATATTTGAACTAGGTTTGCTGTTACTTGCAACCAAGAATTCTGATGGGTAAATTTGCAGGATAACACATAGGGTAGTGAATACTTTCCACACAGCTCATGAGCTGGCTTTTGGCTGGCCTACTGTCTCTGGCATGCCACCAGAAGATGCCACCACCAGATGACTGCATCTCAGGAGTTGTCAGAGCTGCTGGGCCAGAATATTCATTGTCTGTACATTTCAAAGATGTCACATGGCGGGGAGTTTATAGTAATGCTCAGTTTCCAGAAGGACGGGACTAGCCAGACCTTGTTAGTAACAAGGAAGGCCCTGGAGAGTCCCCAAGCAAAGGCCCTGACAGTAACTTTAGTAGTGCATGGTGCTTCATGACTATATATCAGCCTACAGCTGAATGTCCAGAAGGCAGTTTCTATAGTTCATTTAAAGTGTGAGAAAAAGAATGGGTGTCACCAGTCCAAGTGAAAATAAACACCAATTTCCCTTCTGCAGGTTTAGCACAGTAAATGAAGGCTAAATATAGCAACTCTAAGGAGTAAAAATAAGTAGGATTTTTCTGTAAGGCTGTGTGTTCACTATTTATATGCTCTCCTTATTAATCCCACTACGAATCTGGCCTGTCTCAATTGTCTTTGAGCCGTTCTCCCCTCTTGGAGTTCAGAGCGGGTCTCCTGGAGATATACTCCAACATAAACAGTCCTTGCTGAAAGCTGAAGGTTATCAGAATGTGTCTGATGTGTTTGGTTTGCGTTGTAACATAAGAGAGAGAAATACAGCTTATTTTCAAATCTATCTGGTTGGCTTTTTAACAATATAAAACTCAAAGCAAAAAAGAATGTCACCGGACCTTATATGACACTTAGAAATGGAAACAGGCTCTTTGTGGAAGAGAATGTGTGTATGTGTGGGGGGAGTTCCAGATGGTGAAGCCTATTTGACTGTGAAGCAAAACTGTGATGAAAATAGGGAACGTCTCAGGCAAGTCAATTACACAAGATATATTGGTAGAAGATGTTCCATGGGGATCGAGCTAGCATGAAGTGCTGGAATGGGAAGAAAACATTACTAGGCTTCCCCAGCTTTAGCACCTAAAAGAAGTAAAAATCATTGACACAAGAAACCAAACAACTGTAATATTATAGATGAGAAACATATGTTCTAACTTAACTATGAACAGCTCTCTGCATATGCCCTGTGTGTTCCTGCCTCTGAGCCTTTTGTCATTGTTCTCCACTGTCAAATTCCAATCTATCTTTCAAGATGCAAGCTCGAGTGCCAGTTTGATTACAAAGCCTTCCTCGACCAATCCAGCTCAGTCACCTCTCCTGTTTGGAAAAGTCTAGCAGAACGTAGCATTTAGATCTTTCAATCTTGTTTTTACAGTTATTTTATATTTCTGTGTTCTGTCATCATTAAGGGCACTCTCCCCAACTAATTCATCTTTAATACACAGGCATAGTCTAGAGATACTGCAGGTTCAGCTCCAAACCACAGCAGTAAAGCAAGTCCCATGAAATATTTGATTTCCCAGTACATATAAAAATTATGTTTTCACTACAGTCTATTAAGTATGCAACAGCATTATGTGTAAAAAGAACCAATTTATATACTTTAATTAAAAATACTTTATTGCTAAAATATGCTAATGATCAAAGCAGGGTTGTAACAAATTTCCAACTTGTAAAAAACACTGTATCTACAAAGTTCAATACAGTGAAGCTACAATAAAATGAATTATGCCTATGATGTGCTTGCATATTGAAGACATTCAGTGACAACTATTGAATGATTGAGAGAATAAAAAGTAAGAACTGGAGTAAAGCACTTGCCTAGCGTACGTAAGCTCCTGGGTTCAATCCCCAGCACCATGAAACAACAATGACAAACCTCATAGGGACACTCTGGTCACTGAAGACTCAAACTCCCTGAACTAGAATAGGAAAAAGGGGTCACAGTTAAGCCTTCTACCTAGAGTTGCTCAGGCTATGTCTTGCCTGGATCTTTTTGCACTCTGGAAAGGCAGTAACTGAACTTGATCCATGTGGTAGGAACCATGGCTGCTGGCCGTGCTGGAGAGCAAGACAGATTCTTAGAACAAATTCTTTCTAATTCTTCAGTTAGAATATATATATATATGAAAACACTATGGTTGATATGTCTTGGTCCTGTGCTTATCCCATTTCCCATACTGTTACCATCTCTAGGTCATAAAGAATTGTGAATGCAAAATTAACATCAGTAAAGAACAAGGTTTTCTATCAAGTAATTCCACAAACAAAATTCAATTATTTAAGCACTCTGTTTTTATATCCAATGGAAATCTAAGATATTGCACACATTTTTCTACATTCAAAACCTGAAAATATCAAATGTAATTTACTTTATTGAGGAATAAGGATTGTAAAAATCATGAACTGCCTTGTACTGTCATATAGTTGGAACCAAAGGAGCTGTTGGGTGTGAAGGGTAGCTTGTTCTTTATCTAGGCTTCTGCAATATCACAGTTTTTATTTCTTTTTAAAAAGTTCCTCTGTACCTTGCCATTTCAGCAATTCACTTTCCACTCTGTAAATACAACTATCTCTTATAATATCAATGTTACTTTCAAAACACTGGATGTTGGAAACCCAGGAGCCAAATTTGTTATAACTGTGTGTGAAATAAGATAAACCCTGAACATGGCAACCTAAGAACCTGCTCCATCCTCACTTGCTGCTGAAGAAATAGGGACCACACACCATCTGCCCACAGTGATTAAACAATAGAATCTTCTGCCTCAGACTCTTTGGAAATGACCTAGTTCAGCAGACAATGGAGCTCAATCAGATTCATGCTCAGGAACTGAGGCTGGGAAGCAATAAATTCAGAAGAAGCTGTCCTACAGAAAGTGAAGCTATGAGATAGCACAGAGGCCATAGGGGTCCTGACAATCCAAAGCTGGAAGAAAACAAAGCTATGAAGGAGAGAAGATGCATGGACACTATAGTGGGAAAGTAGCCCGTGGGAACATCAAGAAGAAGTAGTTGGTCTGCAAGATGGCTAACATACCAACTAGCTGAATGGTGGCAATGTGGAGCCCAAAGTGCCACTCCACTTCCTTCTGGCCTGCCTTCCACCTGGGACTCTACCTCCCTGTACTTCCTGCTCTGCCTGGACCCTGACAGCCCTTAACAGACTTTTCCAGGTTCCTGGCCTCAGCTTCCTTCCCATACTCCCTCAGTCACCCTGAACTGAGTGTGTCCAACAGGACTAGAGACCTGGTGGAGTTGTGGTTCTTTTGGCTACTCAGAGAGCTTTGGTACTCACTGCCAGGTATGTAACCTGGATCAGTCTAGATGCACTGGGGGAAGGGGGTTGTGTTATTCTGTATCTCAGATGGAACTGAATCCTGGACAGCCTCCAATCTTATCCTGTGAAGTGGGACTCAGCACTTGACCCCATCCTTCAATCTTCACTGTTAAAAGAGCAACTATGACTATAATTATGGTAGAAAACTTCTGTTAAACATTTATTGCTAAAAGCTATGCAAAGTGCTTTCCATGAACTATTTCATTTAGTCTTCACAATCACCTTATGAAGCAGATACTACTATTATTCCTAATGAACAGATGAGGTTTCTGGAGGTCATGTAATTTGTTCACTGTAAAACAGCTAATAAGCACTAGAGTTGGAATATGAACTCAAATAATTCTCTTCAGAGCCCAAGCTTACTGATTATGGAGGAACTGATTTTTCCTGAAAATATCATGAGATGCCATGGAAGGAGGTTTGCATTGCATACTGCAGGACAAATTCCATAAAATTTCCTTTAGATACTTCTGTTCCTCCAAAGTTTCTCTCCCACTGACAACATCTCCTCTCTTCTCCTCGTCTCCACCCAGCCACCAAAAATCTCAACCTGTATGCAAAACCAGAGCATGGCCCTTTGGAGTCCCAATTCCACCCCAGCTTTTTCACAGACACACCATCCAATTTCACACCTGTGGCGTGGATCCAGGCCAACCCCAGGATGATGTGTAGGAAAGCAATCTGAGAAGGTTCAGGTCCTTTACATGGAAAGGGGGCCATCTACATAGGTGGCAAATGCACAGTCAGTTCAGCGAAGCACAGATGGTGTTTTCTTACTTTGTTAATACTAATTCCTGTATTTCTATATGAATCAGGAGTGAAGCTAAGCATAAGGCCGTGGCAGCATACATAGGATTCTGCTTAAAATCACACTGCTCGCCTGTGTTGGGACCCAATGTGTTGATTACATATTCAGATTCTAGATGAGGGTCTTAGGTTTCCCTGAACATTTCTTCACAGAGATCTAATTCTTCACCAGGGAAGCCAAGTTCAGTGGGTTATATTATGAAGCTGCTTGTACAAGGCGAACCAAAAAACGAGGAAGGGAGTGGGAAGCTGGCTCCGACTTGAGTTCCAACAGGAGCCTTAAGGTTGTGGCCAACAAAGAGAGCTCTCTACGTTCCAGTCAGAGCCAGCTGTGTTCAAAGTAGCAACTCGACTCTGGTTTTATTAAGTCTCCATATTGCCACTTGAATTGGTATACAATTGAAAAGAATAAACTCCAGGAGCTGGCATTTCCAGACCTGGAAGAAGGGCCTGGAACAATCATCCAGGTATGCAAAGAAAAATGCAGCAAGCAGAGACTCTTTCTTTGTAATGTTGAACCTGAGTGCTTGACTTTGAGGCAGAAGATTTAACTGATTCTGCTGGAATTTAAGGCAGAACCTAATAACTGGCTGGTGAGAAAAGAAGGCATTTAATGTAGAATTTCTTTATAGACAAAGAACTAGAAAAATGAGCTCTCAGCTCTATATTGAGATTTGAGTATTTGAAAATGTACATGAAAATATATTGGCAAAACTTTCCCTTACCCATAGTGAGGTACAGCCTTTCTTCACTTATATTTTTCCTGGTTATACTGATTCAAGGTTTAAAGAATTATTAATTCTCAAACTTTCATTTTCCATATAAGATCAGAAAATAATCCTATAGGTATAAATTAAATTTCAATTTAACATTTTGGTATAGGGATTTATATAGAAAACTTATACTATCACTATTAGTATACTGCTAATTGGGAAGGAAAAAAGTACAAACAAGTCCTCAAAAAAAAAAATTCTGGAGGGGGGTAACTTTAAAATGTAATGTATTCAAATGATCAAGTTCTATCTTTTCATTCTTTTTGGCATTTTTTTTCTCTCTACCTCATTTTTCCAATCCAGATTTTTAGATTTTTGGCATCTGAGAGATTGGCACCATGGAGACCTCTCTGGGGGAAAAATATTCATTTGGTACATTACCTCATCTTTTCTAAGCCCAGTGCTTGACAAGTGGCAGAGCCTGAGAGGTAAAAAGCCTCTTGGGAAACAGGAAAAAAAAAAAAAGCTGGGTCCTAAAACTAGAAGTCTTCCTCCCTAACTCACAGCAAACTGGATGAAGGAAGACAAAGAAAGTATAAGCTTCAAAGCAGATGCAGAAGAACGAGAGGAGTTATGGAAACTTTGTCCATACAAGGTACAATTGCAAAGATAATACATTCAACAGCAAATATTTGGGGTAAATGATCAAGCCACTCACTCACTACTTAAAATCTATCTTGTATTGGCAGCAATGCTCTCCCATATATGTAGATCTGATCTCTTCCATCTGAGCAGTAAGCAATTTGAGGATAGAGTATAAGTTTGTTTCTTTCGTATTGCCTGGAATAGTGACTTCAACAGTAAGTTTTCAATAAGTGCTGGCTAAATCCATTGGGAAGGGACTGTCAGATCTGGTGGATTCTAGATGCTGATTCTGGATGCCAATTCTGGATTCTACTGAGTATGCATGGTGCAGTTAGGCTCAGCAGCAGATACTCAACTGTGGTGCCCTAATCCAGAGGGAAGCATGAGATGAAAATAAGCTTGCATCATATGGAGACTTAAGGGTAAAGAAGAGAGCAAGAGCGACTGCTAGGTGTTTGCTAATAATTAAATGCTTGCAGTGTTCTCTTGGGATAGTGTGGGCTCCAACTGCTGTCTGGGATGATTATGTTGGCCATATCAGTCACTAACATGTGGATCTTGTCTCTACTGGATTAGCATGTCCAGGATTCCCATGACTCCATTTCTTGATTCCTGATCTCCTGCCAGTTTATTTTCACTGTGACAATTGGACATTGTAAGTGCTGCCACAGGATGACTAAAGACATATTTCCTCTAATTCCACTTTCACACAAAGAGTCAAGAGAAGAATGGGAAAGAGGACATATGTATTTGGGGGTGGGGATGCTTTCTCCCCCAGAAGAAGCAGGGAGTCATATGGAGCTCCCACCATGAGCTGTACGCCATAAAGCACAGTACACGGATGCTACAGGAGGAGGCAGGTGGCCCCTTAGACGGAGTGAAGCCAACACACTCACTCAAAGATAAGAAAGCTCTCCGTGCTTTGGATTTGCTAACTTTCACACAGCACTCTTCAAGTCAAAGTGCAAGAGCTGGTGGGCTTTAACCATCTTTGTCAGAGATCTCCGACATGATAACAGATTAGTCGATTTCACCCTCCCACTCTAGTCTGGTACAGCTAAAATTCTAGTCTGCAAGTTTCACCTACTTAAATCTTGTGAGTACAGTGCTGAACAAAATAGAAACTAGCTTTCTAATTTGCTCAAAAGTGAGGTGATTTCTATTCCATATCACCACCTTTGTCACTCAAAAACAAAATGGAAAACCTTTTTAGTAAGTAATCACAAACAGTATCACTTCTACTCTTATAATAGCAGCTGAAAGGATTATAAAGTTATTAAAATGTCCCTTTTTTCATTAGCACAAAGCAGGTGATCTTAGTCTCCTGAAGGTAGGGGATGGTGACGAATACAGGTGATTTAAGCAGTGTGTCTAAGGTTACCAGGGCAACTGCTGATTATTACTGAGGAACTCCAGTGCATCTCCATAAAGGTCAGGAGTGAAGGTTTTTCCATCATAAATTCTGCTTTAAAATGGAGCTTTTAAAGGAAATTGGGTAGACAGCAGATGGAGAATGACAGATGATCAGGGGAAATAACTATCTATAGCTCAAAGATAACGGAACTACTTAAATTTCACAATGTCGGTTGGGGGTTGTAGGAGGGGTTCAAGAGTAGCTGCTCAATGCTAAAATGTACTTTCTACTTCCCTAAGTCAGGACTTCCCAGTTTTAGTAAGAAATCTGAAATAGTCCAGAGGCTGACTGGAGTCACTCAGCTCTCTGAGAGCTCAACCAACTCCTTCAGATTTCCTCGGCTGTGTTATGAGTTAACACCTGGGGCCCCGGATAGGCCAGTATGGAGAGGAGTTATCTGGTCACTAAAGAAATGATTCAATGACCTTCAATTCATTTATGACACATCAAAAGCCAACACCTGCTTGGTAAAGAACTTGTTCTTTTGTCAAACAGTATCTCAGATCCCTAGCTATAGAGGATTTAAAACATTTATTCAATGTTAACAAAAAGAATCCTTTCTCATATCCATAGCTTTGTTTGTTGGTACCAGGGATTGAACCCAGGGGCACTTAACCACTGAGCCACATCCTTAACCCTTTTTTTGCATTTTATTGAGAAACAGGGTCTTACTGAGTTGCCTAGGGCCTCACTAAATTGCTGAGGCTGGCTTTGAAATCATGATCCTTCTGCCTCAGCCTCCTGAACTGCTGGGACTATAGGCATTCACCATAGCACCCAGGTATAAGCCATAGCTTTAAGAAAATGAATAAATGGTGGTTTTGAAACTAAGCAAATCTATTTTTAATTATTCTTTTGAAAGCAAGCAGTCAATGTGGCACATGTAAACAATTCCCACATGAGAAAGAGGTAGTGTGGAAATGAAAAGCCAGTATTCCTACAGCAGACCCTTGCCCCATCTGCTTCCTACAGAGGTTACCACACATTCACTCCCCTGGATCTTCTCAGATATTTTAGGCATGTTCACATACTTGTCTTTAGTCAATACCTCTGGATTATTATATAAGTAGCATTACATAATATAAATGGTTTTCAAATCTAGCTGCATATCAAAATCACTTGGGAAGCTTAAAAAACATGCCAAAAAATTAGACCCTACCCCAGATCAATTAACTGAGGCTCTAGGGACAGAGTTCAGGTGGGATGGGCTGGGCTGGGATGCTAACGGGAAGGCTGGCTTGAGAACTATAACTACACACTGCTTTGTACCTGTTTCC